TGTAATTTCACTATACTGAATGTATAGTGCGTCACGTTGCCTTATTACTGATAATGATTAAGGCCTTAACAGTGGTTGAAATGCCTAAATCTAGGATATTTAAGTAAAAAAATCTCAATAACTGTTCATTTAATCCACAAAGAAAAAATACAAGGTAACAGAAGAAGATTTGTTAAATGTTTTTAATTTAACAAAATTGTATTTTTGTCAACCCCTTATTAGAAAAAAAATCCCCAAAGAGTACCTATCTTTGTCATATTTTGCAAAATTTCTCCAAAACGGCACAAGCTTTTTAAATAGTTCTTACACTAAAAAAAGGTCTTAAAAATATTAATATTTTTAATTGAGAGTTTTATTTTTATTACCCGTTTTATAAGAGAATATATCATTTTTCCCTGAAATTGAATATATTTACGCGAGCGCGCATGCTCCGTATCCATGTAAGCTCTGTCACAGTCCGTTTTCGGACATCGACGAGAGTGGACCGCACGTCGGTGTTAGAGCGACTTCGTTCAAATATATATTAGTTTTTTAAAAGTTTATACTCAATTATAAATATTTTTATGATTAGAAATAATTAATTTAGTTAATATCTGTACACTGGTAACTGCAAATATTATTTTCTAAATAAATGAATTTTTAAAGTGCCCAAAGAAGAAGAAATTTTTGCGGCGACGTTGATTAGTGAAATTGAAAAATGCATTTTTATATAATTTAGATGTGGAACGACGAACATGCTCTCGTTACTTAGATTGCGATAGTTTTTAATACCTATGTAATTTTATTGTTGCATATTTTTATTAATTAGTTGATAATGAATTTTATAATTATGTATTAAAATAAAACGCTGTTTTTATAAGTATGATTTTATAAAATATTATTGGGGAAAGAAATAAAGATACAGATACTTACATTTAGGTACACTGTTATCAAATTAAATTAAACAATTTAAATGAATAAAAGAATGGTGCTTACCTAAGTATAAATAACTATATAAAGACATTCTTGGGTTTATGGTTTTTTTTTGTTAGACAAACTATCATCTAAAAAATGTAAAAATTTTAAATTGGAGAGGGGTTTCTCTACGTGATAAAGTTAGAAATGAAGGTATTTGCATTAGAACCAGAGTAACTGACATTGCTCAACGGAATATTACAGTGAAATGGCAATGGGCTAGCTATATAACTTGGAAAACATATAAACAATAGGAAGAAAGGTCCTCGAGTGGCAACCTCGTACAGGTAAGCGAATTAGTACTCAACCTTTATTCCTCTTCACGTATTCTCATACGCTTTTCTTCACACATACACACACACACACACACACACGCACACGCGCGCAAGCACGCACGTACACACACACAAATAGGTCGCAAATAATACTTACCTAGTACTATTAGGCAAGAGTGAATAGGTTTTTGTTAAGTCAGTGCAATTCACCATCTTAGACTACATAACCACTTACCGATGGGATTGTAGTTGCTTTACTACTTGCTGGGTAAAAATAGTAAAAAAAAAATTTTCCCTTTGAAAGTTTGCATTTAGATATAATTTTTCTAACCAACCATAAAAATATGATGAGAATATGTATATAAGTATAAAGGTTGCCTCACATGGGACAGTAATAATATAATATTATATATTCCATTATCTCTGAAATCCGAGGTACGTTCATATTAAGAGACTGAATAGAGCAACATTGAAATGCATGGGGATGGTTTTGTAATTTCACGTCATTATCGAAAAAAAATTGTACGTATTTCAGGTGGCGGTTTGCAAAACACGATTTCACAAAAATTAACTCAATAGAAAATAATTGCAAAGTTGCTTCTAAAAATACTTAAATTTTCAACGTCAATTTTTTTTACGTGGTAGAGCCATGCTAAAGCTATATTTATTAGGTATAGTTGTAGCACGAATGGGTCGGCTCGACCGGGGAAGGGCCACGCTCTCACGCAATAACGTGTAAAATAGCAGTTTAACCCTGCTGTGTTTCGTATGGTGAGTAGAGAACCGGAGGACCTTTTTACTGGAAACGAGTGTTTTAGATTTAAAGATCAGTTATAAAGAGCCAATGTTATTATTTTCATTTTGATTAATTTAATTCGAGACTAAAATGAATGTGAAAGGGCTTTTATCTGCAATAATAATTTTCATTAAAAATAACATAGACTTATAAAAGTCATATACACGGTCAATCATACTGAAGATTATCAATTGTACTACAAAATATTTAAAAGACTATTTCCAGTATAATGACCCGAATATCATCATTAATGTTTGACTGGCACACTTAAAAGTTTTATCACATGGCTAAATGATTGACTTTTATATTATGATAAGGTCATGCTTTTCTATAAAAAGTTGCAAGAAATTTTAATTCCCGGCCCTATTGGTTTGTTTTACTTTTTAATTAATTAGTGAAAAACAAAATGGACTGATCTAAAAGTTTACTTTATTGTGTAAAAAGAGCTATTTAGAATTTTATGCAAATGATAATTAAAGTTTCTATGTAAATAAGTGTAATAAGTGTAATATAGCGGAAATTATATTCAATAGTAGCGGCCATCCGTATTTGCAAAGCCAGCATCATTTTCTGTACAGAAACCGGCAAAGTGATGCTCAAGGCACTATAAACAAAGCAGCTGATAAAATGTTACACTCATAACTGTTAACAAAAACTGTTTTCGCAAATGGTCTTATAGATAATAATAACTATTCCGCCGTATTAGGTGCAGGAGCTATTATTAGAAGGAGAAGAGGTAAAATTTTGTTTTAGAAATGCGCAATCAATATTGTTTTGTCTGCAATTGAGCATAAAATAAAAAATAACTTCAGCCAAAGAGCATAACTGGCATTATACTCAGGCCCATCAATTGGTATGGAAAAAAATAATTTTACCAGGTTTCAAAAAATCAATCAAAATTCAAAAAACATAAATATTAAAATCAAAAAATGTATATATGTATGTCTATACATACATATAATGATTTATGGCCGCTTAGTAACTGACGGTGACTCACTATAACATCCTACAGTCACGCCGAAACTAAGAGGAGAGAATCACTGTAGAAAAGGTAATAATTTATTGCGGAAATTTTGTGATTAAAATTAAAAATTTAATAAAAATTAAATTTTTTTTTATAGAATAGGGGGCAAACGAGCTTGCGGCTCACCTGATGGTAAGTGACTACCGCCGCCCATGAACAACCGCAACACCAGGGGAATTGCAGATGCGTTGCCGGCCTTTTAGAAAGGTGTAAGCTCTTTTCTTGAAGGTTCCTAAGTCGTATCGGTTCGGAAAATTCGCTGGTGGTAATTGATTCCACAAAGAAGTTGTGCGAGGGAGAAAACTTCTTCTAAATCGCACAGTGGTGGACCGCCAATCATCCAGATAATATAAACTTATTCAAGTTAATCTAACTTAGTCTAACTTATCCTTATGCGTACAAAAAAAAACAAATAATAAAATAGTGAGATGGCGTCAGTTTTTAAGAAGATATAACAAAAATAAACAAAAAAATAAATTTCAATAAAGTTCAGTATTTAATTGATTATATACCGCTGACACTTAATCACGCTTTTCGAAACCACGCCAGTTGTAAACAATACTTGTGTGAAAAGACAAAATCTTCTTTTCAAATTTCCGCCGAGTTGTAAGCAGAAGGTCAAATAGGTCACGTGTCAATTTTAATTAAATATATTTTATATGAAGTGATCTTGACTAGGTTTCATCAGTTAATCATTGGTAAAAATTAAAACAGGAATTTTACGATTGTGTTTACAAAAAACATTATTAGTTGAACCTTGCAGCTTGTTCATTATTTTTATTATAAATACCTATAAATGTATATATTATTAATAAATAGTTCCCACAATATATTGGATTATTTATTATTTTGCCCTATCTGCAATGTTCTACGCTCTATAGAAAATGTGGCGTATGACGTGACTGACAGTCTTTCGAACGTTTTATCTAGATACAAAGATGTTTTACGTTTTCGTGGCCTCCACATGATATTTTTGTCAGCATAAGGTACCCTTCTATATCTGAAACGAATATAAATATTGCTACAAAGTAAAGTAATAGGCTATACAAGTCCCTCTACTGGGCACAGGACTCTTTTTTTATTTCTGAGAGGGTTTTAGGGCAAGGAAATGCCCGCCGTGCTTCCCCAATGCGTGTTGACGAAAATTGCAATTACAAATTTCATTCGTGCTGTCGGGGATCAAACCCGGGAAAATTTACAGCGAACGCTTTGACGACATATTTTTAATACGACACAAATAAATACGATTTAACATATATAATTAAAATTCTTACGTACTTGAAACTTGAACACTTGATAGTTCGTGATGCCTACCCGACAAAGCTACAGCACCACACCGTGCAATGTAATTGAAGATGCGTAACCGCGACATAATTCTCAGTGATGCGCAAGCATAACAGGCAGTATGTCACTTATATAATTGTCATCTCTGCAGTCTATTAATCTTTGCACTTTTATAAGTAATACAGAACGTAGTTGCTAGACGGTGTTGACATCGGCTAAAATCTCTGCGATCGCCGTTTCGTCAAGGTCATTCAGGCTAGTTAAAGCCTCAAACTGCGTAAGCAAGAGAGCAAGTTGAACATCCGCTCTCACACTTTTATTATTTTTAACAATTAACGCTATCCTGATGTATTTCCAAGATCAAAATTGGAATCCTCTGTTGTAATTCTCCGACATCAGAAGTGGGATCTCCCGTTGTCATTTCCGATATATATATAAACTGCTTTAACTTCGGAACTTTGTTAGCGCGATTTAGGCTTCGATGTGTTTCACTTGTGGCGCGACGACAGCGCCGCCACAATGTCTTGATTTTTTTTATGAGCCCGTAAAAGTCGATAGCTGGACGAGGACCCTTTAATTGTAGGGAAAATTCGCCTTAATCGCCACGCACGGCATGCGTATTGGCTTGGCGATTGTAGTTTTATGAATGTCGTTTTTGATTTTCTAGATTGGAAATTCTAAAAATCCACGCCGCGCCGATAGCGAAGCACGGCGAGATGGACTACGAGGCTGTGGTGAAGCTGTCGGACACCTTCAACGGAGCCGATCTGAGGAATGTGTGCACCGAAGCTGGTCTATTCGCCATTCGTGCCGAGAGAGAGTACATTATACAGGTAAATGACGTCCTTAAAGATAAAAGAGCCGTGGTAGGTCAGGGGCTGAGCGCTCGCTGTAAATTTTCATTATATCGCAACCCAAGTACGATCCCAAGCACCAATGAAATTGTTAATTGCAATTTTAAGTAGTGATTTACCACGTGCTCGGGGGTGAAGGAAGACAATGTGAGGAAATCTGCATGTCTAAGAAATAACAAAAAATATTTCGAAGACATGTGAAGTTCGCCAACACGCATTTGGGCATCGCGGCGAACACTTCCTTGCCCTAAAACCCTCTCAAATATGAGAGGAGGCCTGTGCCCAGCAGTGGGACGTATATAGGCTGTAACTTTAAATATAAACGATTGACTCTTTATAATAATGATGCCCGTTGTATGGCGTATTATAAGTTTTTTTTTCGACCCTGAATTCTCTTTTGTCTTATCATGTCTGAAAACTTACTTAATTTCTTATGTATCTACATTGAACATTTATTTCAGTAAATTCTTTAATATTTAACGTGTGAATAGAATAGTGGGTTATATATTAGTTTAATCTCTAACGGTATAATTGTCAAATTGTTATATTCCATTGTTCAACTATTCGCTGTTCCATCGAAATAAAAAAAGAAAAAACCACGGTCGTTCTCATGACCGATTTATAATTGTTACAGCTATTCCAAAGATTAGATTAGCCTGGACAGACAGACAGATACACATTTGAAAATGATTATTTACGTCTTAATGGGCATACATACTTAAGCTATAGCATAAGCTTGTTATAAGGCAGTTATTTCGATTACAGGCAGACACTTCGATTTTTTTTTACAGGATAAGGGTGACTAACGAGCACACAGTCCACCTGATGGCAAACGGATACTGTGGCCCATAGACATCTACATTTATCCTCGATTAGGAATCAAAATACAGTTGCGTTGTCACCCGTAGCATTAAGATGGAATGCCGCGTTTCCAGTTAAAAGGATTTTCGGTTCTCTACACTCACCATACGAAACACAGCAGCGTTAAGCTCCTATTTTACGCTGGTATTCTGTGAGAGCGTGGTCCTTACCCGGTCGAGCCGACCCATTCGTGCTACAACTATGCTATTAATAAAGATGCAGCATGGCTTTACCACGTACATATATTATATGTATAGATAGCGTCAACTTAATCATTTAATTGTATTTCAGGAGGATCTCATGAAGGCAGTGCGCAAAGTTGCAGACAACAAGAAACTCGAGAGCAAGCTGGACTACAAACCGGTTTAAATTGGCATTTATTTATATAATTCAATTAATTCTATTATATTATGTAACTGCTTTTTTAAAATAAAATTAGTGTTATTACATCTGTTTTCTTTCAGTTATGTATTCAAAATCCACACAACGATAAAGCATACTTACTCGTAACATTTTTACGTGGTAGAGCCACACTGCAGCTATATTATGGTCGTGCACGAATGGGTCGATCGAGATACGACCACGCTCTCACAGAATACCAGCGTAAAATAGCAGCTTAACACTGCTGTGTTTCGTATGCTGAGTGTAGAGATCCGCAGACCCTTTTTACTGAATACGAGGCATTCCATCTTAGTCCTCACGGGTGACAACGCACCTGCATTTTGATTCGCAAACGAGGATAAATGTAGATGTCTGTGAGCCACAGCAACCACTTACCATCAGGTGGACTGTGTGATTCTCTACACTCACCATAACACAACAGTTTTAAGCTACTATTTTACGCTGGTATTCTGTGAGAGCGTAGTCCTTCCCCAGTCGAGCCGACCCATTTGTGCTATAACTATACTACTAATATAGCTGCAGCATAGCTTTACCACGTATAAGAACTCCTTACCTTCTTAACTCTGCGTAGCTGTGATAGTTTTCTTTTTGACTTCATTATAATATGTACTACTATTCTGTATACTTTTCACATATCCAAAAGCAGTTTTTAAAAGCTTTTAGTAAAAGCTTTACCAACTAAACATGGTAAAGGGGGGACACATGACTCTAATGAAAAATTCCACTTTAAAGCTAAATATTTCGCAAACGGACCCCTGAATCGAAAAGATGTTGTTCCACACCTCCCAATTTTTTTTAAAGACCTATCCAACGATACCCCACATGATGGAATAAACGGTTAAAAAAGAATCATCCTCCATTTACTTGTATGGGAAGTACCCGTAATAAAAATGTTTATAAGATTTTATTTCACAGTTTTCTAGGCGTGATTAATATCTATAACTATGTCAAATTACAGATTTGTGCACAGACAGAGAGACAGACATGGTGAAACTATAAGGGGTAAAAGTCCTTAAAAATACCCCTAAACCTAACTATTAAAAGCCCCTAAAGAATCCCATTCCCATCCCACTTATTTGCTCCCTAATAAATTTAGGCGGTACGCCCCCAAAGCCCCAAACCCCTAAGTTCAGAACCCCCTCGAAGTTTTAGGTTACACAAGATAAAGTTAGACTCCGTTAGAGCCGACAAAAATTCACCGAGAAGGTTTCTCGGTGTGCTGGATGAACGGCAGCGTCGATCTTCGATGAAAATTAATATAAACATATTACTTGTGGTATTTGTGAAGGCGCTCTTATAGCGCGTTCTTAAAAACTAATAGCGACATCTATCAAAAAACTTAAGAACTATTTGCACCATTCGTTTCCTTTACGGGCTGAAGCTGAAGATGATTAGAGAGTAGTATTCCTAGATGTAGTTCTATTTTACTAGGTATAAATATTTAACTAGACTAGACAATTATGATAATAATATGAAAAATAAGTAAGTACCTTTTTAATTCAACTGAGAACTTACCCTAAAGGTTTTCTCTACTAGATTTCTCCTACGCGATCACTAAGATATCGGGGAACTGTTGGTGTCTAGTCGTCATTATGAAGCAATCTAATTTTTCGTCGAAGAGTCGGGACTATACCAGGTCAATTTTCTGTGGGTACCCTTTTGGAAGAAAGAGTTCCTCCTTCTTCTTGAAATCATTTTAAGCAAACTGCTATATATCAATCTCTTCAATGTCCTTCTATCTCATCAACTGCTCCAATTATTCCTGTAACACAATATGTTCTTCCTTGGCTGTTATTATTTAATTTTGGTATTTATATTTTTATATTTTAATTTTTAGTTGATGTTTTTTTACATAATAGATCTTGTTCGCGCCAAACGCTAATTTCAGGAACTAACGCGGGAGGGCGCGCGGCTCGGTGCCATACCGGTGTCGACGCCCGGGCTGCTGCCGACGGCCAAGGTCTACTAAGGTCAATCACCATCAGTCACACCCAGATACACATCACAGCACCTTATTTCCCTTGCACTACACAACCACATGCGACCTGACCGACTCCGGAGGGACCATTCGCCTTGGATATAGGTAAGTAAGCTCCGTCTAATATTCTCCCTGTTGAAAGGCCGGACCACAGAACGCTCCCTTTTATTGTTTAGTGTAACTATAGATTTTCCACTTTGGCCTTCGGAGGCCCGAACTACGTCTGCTCGTCGAAACTCAGCTGAATGGGCCCCTGAGGATTTGATCTTTATGGGAGCAGCCGTAGGCCGTAACAAACTGGTAGCAGAGCGCGGTTCCGGGTTCGATTCCCCGGTCGATCCCGACCATAGTGTTTGATAAAAATTAAACAATTCTGGTGACAGGGAGCGTTGGTTTGATTGGTTTAATTTGTATCTACAATCACGCCCGTCCGTAATACGTAAAAATATTTTTTTTGTACGTAATAATATAATTATTTTCCTTTGTTGCTTGCTTATTTGGTTAGCGGGTAGATTTGAAAGCCGCGCCCTTTTTGTGCGCAAGCGGGAGTTTTTCTAGAGGTATACGTCATGTAGGTAGATGGATATTATCACGTAATCGGTTAATTATCGTTGTCGGATAGTTGTAGTGGATTGCTTATCGAAGGGTCGATTTCCGAGCTAGGCATTTTTCGTTGATCGGCCGTGAGGTGTATCTTCGTTTGTATTGTAATTTGTATTTGAACTAAAGAGTAGTAATTGTATTTGCGCAATTTGAATTTAACTGGATTTGATCGCACTAGTATTTGTTATTTGTTAATTTGATTTGTCTTTTCTTTTGTGCTAACTTGTATTTGGTTTGATAAGTAGTAATTCGTATTTGTGTAATTTATCGATACTCGATTTGATAGGAACTGCATTTGTTAACTGTTAATTTTTTGTTGTATTTGTTATTTGTTATCTTTGTAATTTGTGCTCGAGCCGCGTCGTAATTTGTATTTAGTAGTGATGTCATCACCCAAGCTACTAATCCGTTGCCTGCGGACTGAGTTACGCTGGGCCACCAGCGCCCATGCTTTGATAGGTCGACCGGATAGGGTCAATAACTTGATGAAGCGGTTCGAGCAGGTCGATGCTCGAAGGGCCGCAGTGGAGGAGGTTTACGCTGAGCTCGAGGATTCGGATGTGGAAAAGGGAGTCCTGGACTCCTGCTTCGCGGACTATGAGCAGTTCTTTTCGCTCACGGACGAGTTGATCGAGGCTGAAGGCAGGTATGCCGAGGAGGCGCGTGAAGCTCGGATGAGTAGCCTGCCCGAGTCCTCTCGGAAGCAGCTTCAGCCGGGGCTGTTGGGACGACTCCCAACTCTGGACCTGCCAAGGTTCTCCGGGGTCCTTTCCGAATGGCTGACCTTCGTTGGTCTTTTCGACAGCCTAGGGGACGCCCGGAGTGACTTGACCCTGAGCCAAAAGATGGCGTACCTCCTGGCCTCACTGGAGGGGGAGGCCCTGGGCGTCGTCGGCCACTTGAGATTGTCGGACGACGCCTACCAGACTGCTCGGGACCTCCTAGGCAGAAGATACGCCAACGTCCGGCGAATTGCGGACGAACATGTTAAGCAGCTTCTAAGCCTCCTGCTGCTTAGTGACCGGGCCAGACTACGTCCGGACCTGTTGGATCCAGTCCTGGTGGCCTGTGTGCCCAGTGAGAGGCTGAATCCGCCAGGCAAGTCGTCGTCAGCCCCTCCCCTGCTCCTATTGTCGAGCATCTGATCACCGGGTGACGTCGTGCCCGAAATTATTAGGTAAGTCGGTTCCGGCGAGGCGAACTATCGCCAAGGAGCGCCGCTGGTGCTGCTCATGTTTGGAAGGGCACCTCCAGCGAGACTTTCGGCATCGGCAGCCCTGTCTGCATTGCCAGGGCAATCACCATGCAGTTTTGTGCCTGGGTGCGAACGGCGTCTCCTCTCGGGGCTCTGCCAGGCCCTCGACCCCCACGGGCGGGGGCGCTCAGCCACGCCCTCTGACGGGCGACTCTCGGCGCCCGCCGGCCAGCTACCAGGCCCCAGGTTTGAAAGGGGTCCCTCCCCCGACCAGTCGGAGGTAATTCCCCCAGGGGCGGGGGTGTCATCACCCCCCCTCAACGTGTGGAGAGGAACTTCACGGCCATTCATCAGTTCGCTAGACCCTTTTCACTCCCGTTAGCTGAGTGGCCGCGACTGGTGTACCACTGTTCCCCATTTGATTGAGGCGGCCCTAGCTAACTGCCGCCTTAGCTCCCACCACGGCCGCCTCCACTGAGCCTTAAGCCATCAACAGTCCACTTATCAAAATGTTCTGTTGCCGACAGCCTGAGTGAAGGCGTACAACCCAAATGGCGACTGTTAGCGGTTTGCGCTCTATTGGTCTCGGGTTCACGCCGTGTGGCCTCCACTTGGTGGTGGGAAGATTAGGGACCCCCTGGAGCGTTGAATCACGCTGTCAAGGGCTATTAGATTTTGTTTGGACTATTATATTGTTAAGGACTATCTGTGCGTTCGTTCGGCTCTCCACAGACGACGTTCATGGGGGTGCTCTCTGCACTGAAGCTTAGGAGGTCACCCTGGGCCGCTTCGTGTCGCGTCGCTGTTTGCAGACCTGATCCGGTCGGATTGCGGAACTAATCATAGGAGCACAGATAGGTGTTGCACCTGCATCCATCGACTTCCTGCATGTCTTACCAGGTCGTCACTCCATCTCGTGGGGGGACGCCCTACACTTCGCCTACCGGTACGGGGCCGCCACTCGAAAACCTTTCTTCCCCATCGGTTGTCGGTTCTTCGAGCTATATGGCCGGCCCACTGCCACTTCAGCTTACTAATCCGTTGGGCTATGTCGGTTACTCTGGTTCTACTGCGGATATCCTCATTCCTAAGTTTATCACGCAGAGAAACTCCGAGCATAGCCCTCTCCATAGCTCGCTGAGCGACCTTGAGCTTTCTCATACGGCCAGCAGTGAAGATACGTAGAACGCGCGGCGTCAAATAAGAGTCGTTTGCCAGCTGTGCTTGGGAAAGCACGCCTTCATATTTTTGTTCGGGGATGCGGAATTGTGCACACGCGCGTCGAGTAGATATACGGTCTAGGGTTCGAATCGCGCATTCCTTGTTCGACAGCTTCTCCCGGTTGTTCATCGGGAAATTATTATAATCGTGTCGTCGCGTTAAGTGCCCTTTTTTGTGTGTGTTGGCTTGTTAGTTTACGCGTCAACGAGGCGTATTTTGAATCTTTTCGCGACGTGGTTTTTGGTGTCGAATGAAGGAACTTAGTTGTGTTTAACTGAGTAGTATGACTCATTAATAGATCGCTTTAATTCCCTCTTTATAATTTGTGATAAGTGAATCCGGGACATTGAATGTTGAACTTTGAACTACTGTCCGTTACTGTGTATCACGTGTACGATTCTACGATGAATGTGGAATCAGGCGAGTTTTAGTTAGTTAAATGTACAATGAAGCTAATAGGACTGTCCTCGTTACGAACGAAGAAAGTGACTGTGGACGACTCCGTGGAAGATTACCACAATTTGGAGCGGTGCTGAAGTCCGAGCTGCTGCCGACGGCAACGGTCTCATAAGGTCTACCACACTCAGTCACACACAGATACACATCACTGACCTTTACTTCCCATGCACCATAAAACCTCATGCGACCTGACCGAACTCTGAGGGACCAGTCGCCTTGGATATAGGTAGGTAAGCTCGGGTTTAATATTCTCCTTGTTGAATAGCAGCAAGATCGAACGCCCCCCCCCCCCCCCTTATTGTTTATTGTAATTAGGAAATTCCACGCGGCCATATTGAGGCCCGACCTACGTCTGTTCGTTGAAACTCTGCTGAGTGGGCCCCAGAGGATTTGAGCCTTTGTGGGAGCAGCCGTAGGCCGTAACATCTGGCGTGTATCTTTTAAAAAGAATTCCAATTTTTACATCTACATTTCGCTTAATAGTCTGGCTGTCACTTCGGTTGTCGGTTCTTAGGGCTATGAAGCCGGTATTGCCTGTTTGTTTCTGCATTCTGTTTGATATTTTACTATATTGGGTGTTAATTGTTACACAATATTTTAGAATGTTACAATCACAACATTTAAAAAATCTGTAAAGTGAAATGTGTAAAATACATTAAACGAGAATAACTATACCTGGGTCTTGTTTTTGAATTCAGGTGGATCCACTAGTCTACAATATGAGTCACGAGGATCCCGGCGATGTCACATACTCTGCAATTGGTGGCCTTCAGGAACAAATCCGACAGTTGAGAGGGGTAAAGTGTCTTCAATTTTTTTGGGGTCTCTTTGGATCTGGACTTCCCAAGAATATGTCAATATTACATAAACATAGGTATACTTTCAGGCAGGTATTCAACCATGTTTTTCTTTTTGTAAATTGTTGCCAGCAAAGAATTCTTACCGTTTCAGCCTATCATCAATAAAGTCCACAGTTGAACGTAGGCATCCCTATCCCTAAACTACCACGGGGAGTGCTCTGAGCAATTGTTCGAATTAATTCCAGCCGCCAAATTTTACGAACGCACATCGCGTCAAGATTCACGATACCATTCTCACCATCTAGATGCTTTTTCGCACAACTTCTCTGTGGAATTGTTTATCACCGGCGATTTTTCCGTACCGATACGACTTAAGGACCTTCAAGAAAAGAGCTTACACCTTTCTAAAAGGTCGGCAGCGGATCTGCAATTACCCTGGTGTTGCGGTTGTTTATGGGCGGCGGTAGTCACTTACCATCAGGTGAGCCGCATGCTGGTTTGCCCCCTCTTTTATAAAAAAAAATTGAACTACCAATCGTTCAAAGAGTTTGTTACAGAACCTGTACCCTCAAAGCTTCAAATTAGCAATGACACTCCATCACCACTGTTGGATTTGAATTTGATGTATTTTGTTGTTTTTGAAGACTAAGATGGAATGCCTCATAGCCTGCAATTACACTAGTACTCAGAGTACCCTTCAGACAGGATAACAGAAGTACATGCACTGCTGTTTAGCGGTAGAAAGAGGCAAGAGAATTATACTCACCCTGGCGGACTCCTAGGCAGAGAAGAAGTCGTACCTCCTAGTATCACGAGCGTGGCTCGCTGCAGCTATATTTTGGTTGTAGCGCAAATTACTAAACAAGGAAAGAACCACGTTCCTACAGAATACCAGTGTGAATAGCAGCTTAACAGCATCCTGTGGGATAAGTTAAAACTGGTGGGTGTTCCTTCCGACATAATTAGAATCCTTATTAATTGGTATAATACGCAGGTTAATGTAGTGAACTGGGATGGCTCGCTTTCGGACGAGTTTGTACTGACTAGTGGGGTTAGGCAGGGTGGGCTGACTTCTCCTCTGCTGTTTAACCTTTACGTTAACGCTCTAATTGAGGAGCTCAATGAAACGGGTATCGGCTGTCATATAGGTGGGAAATGTGTAAACAACCTTAGTTACGCAGACGATATGGTTTTATTGAGCTCCTCAATCAGAGCCTTGAGGAAGTTAATTTCTATTTGTGAGAGATACGCAGCAAGCCACGATTTAGTTTATAATGCAGACAAGTCTGTGGCTATGGTCTTTGGAGCGCATAGTAAAGATGTTTGTTTACCATTATACCTGAACGGCAAAAATTTGAAGTTTGTGACGAGCTTTCGATATTTAGGACATATCGTATCGAGTGACCTGAGGGATGATCAGGACATGGACAGAGAAAGGAGATCCCTTGCTGTACGCGCAAATATGATTGGCAGGAAATTTAATAAATGTGAGCGAGATGCTAAAATATTACTATTTAAAACCTATTGCCAATCGCTTTACACACCGCATCTCTGGACTAAATTTAAAAAAGGAAAACTATCGAATTTTTAAGGTTCAATATGATTCGTTCCGATTATTATTTCGTTTTCCGAGGTACTGTAGTGCATCTACAATGTTCGCTGAGGCGCGCGTACCGACGCTCGATGCTTTAATAAGACATCGTGTGGCTAGATTTAGAAGTAATCTTCTCAAATCTGAAAACACGATTATACTAATTTTAACGCAAAATTGTAGTGAAATATTGAAATATTGGTCTAGTATGTTAAGATGTAAGTTATAATTTGTTTGATGGCATTTACTTAATTTTTATTTATTTTTTGTATTACATTATTATTTGATTTTACTTCATTTTTTTATGTTTGTTGATTATAAGTAATTATGTTTTTTTTTACGGGCCTTTGTTGTCTGTCAATAAATGATTATTATTATTATTATTATTATTATTATTAATACTTCTATGTTTCGTATGGTGAGTGTGACCTGAGAAACATTTTACAGGTCTCAGGTGTGACAATGCAAAATTTTGATTTTTATTCGAAGGTAGGCCCCCGGGATCTACTTACTATTAGATGGACTGTGATGATGATGACTTCTTTAACTCGTTTATTTTCAAACAAAGGCGCTTAACAGACCTCGTTTAGTCTTTGGTTTCGACTAAATACTAGTTCCTTAATGATATTTTTGAGCCTTTTCAATTATAGCCAAGACAAACTCCAACTCAACTATGGTTATAAAGAAATTCCTCAAACATGTCTATATTTGAAGAATTTTTCATAAATAGACCTACTGTAACATTCACATGCCACTGGACTGTGGACTGCTATTCCAATTCTATTTTAAAATTTAACAGAAAAATCTTTCATTTTCCAGGTGATTGAACTCCCCTTGTTGAATCCAGAACTCTTCGTCCGTGTAGGAATCACTCCGCCAAAGGGTTGCCTGCTATACGGTCCACCGGGAACTGGCAAGACCTTACTGGCGAGGGCTGTGGCCTCTCAGCTCGATGCAAACTTCCTTAAGGTAATAAAAATTTTATTTTCATTCAAAATACGCACAAAATAAAGTCTTAGTATTGATTGAGAATTGTGATTTACTCGTTGAAACGAAAAAACTATACTAAAAAGAGACGAACATATCCATCAGTCATGTACTCCTGGTATATCATCTTCTATACATCCATCCATTACAGCCTATATAGCCTAGTCAACAAACATAGTCATCATTTATACGTGGTAGAGCCATACCACAGCTATATTAGTAGAATAGTTGTAGCACGAATGGGTCGGCTCGACCGCGGAAGGATCACGCTCTCACAGATTACCAGCGTAAAATGGCAGCTCGATATTGCTGTGTTTCGTATGGTGAGTGTAGAGAACCGGAGACCCATTTTACTGGAAAAGAGGCATTCCATCTTAGACCTCACGGGTGAAGACGCATCTGCATTTTGATTCTTTATAGAGGATAAATGTAGATGTGTATGGGCCACAGCAACCACTTACCATCAGGTGGACTGTGTGCTCGTTTGTCACGTGTTGTCGTTTGTCATGCCACCGTCAAGTTAGCACGATGCCGCACCAGTTGAAACCATCGCGTCTCTCGCTTATTTGCTCCGACTAACGTCATACTTACTGCCCATACACACGTTCAAGTTTACATGACATACAAGTAGACTTGTCATGCACACTGATAGCCACACACCGACAAGTTTACCGGACGCCGCTTCAAGCGCGCTGCAAACTTGATCGTAAACTGGATATGTAGAATAAAATGTAAAACAATTTTAATAAATTTAAAGGTAACAATCTATACAAATAAATAAAAGTGTCTGTTTGTAATGTCAAAATAACTGCTTTTTACTATATGCATATGAAATTATATACGGTACTTATCACATAAACACAATTTTTAAAATATTTGTCTGTCTTTCTGTCTGTTCCGGCTAACCTCTGAAACGACTCAACCGATTTTGACAGGACTTTCACTGGTAGATAGTTGATGTTATAAGGAGTAACTTATGCAACTTTCATTTTAGAAAAAGAATTGGGGTTCCGCGCAAAATAATTAAAACCCATGAAATCCAATCGTAATAAATTACACGTGGGCGAAGTCGCGGGAAACAGCTAGCATTATATTAAATAACTAAAATTATTCTACTCCTGTTACTCTGCATTCATCTAATTCTCTCGAAGTTTAGTTTCCTGGAGGTTTCACTTATACCGCGTGTGACCTGCACACATATTGTCTTTGTTTTTCATTATTTATCTATGCTAGACTATTGAAAAAAAAAAACATTTTCAATAAAAAGTAAAAGCCAACTTCGAAGAACTAAAAAGAATAAAATAATTTCACATTGAGTTGGGCCTTAATTCTTAAGGCGGCTCTTCACGTTGGCCAACATGGTGGCGAATGTGTTGGCAAAGATATTAGCCAAGAGTTTGTGATGGCGTCCACACGTTGGAAGGTCGTTCAGTTTGCTTCAGTTCAGGCCAATGTGCGGACGAATTTATTAAAATAGGTATTGAGGCGCCAACGGCTGCTGCGGGTCATTTATTCACAGCATACCGCTACTACATGAATGTGTATAAGAAAGAAATGGAAATGGAAAAAATTAATTTTATTTCTTCTGTTCCACAAACAATTTTCAGCTTGGTAGAGCTCTATAATTCCATAAATTTTAATTTTTAAAATTAATGTTTCTTCATTGGTTATTATTACTGCGATTTGGTGGACACTAGTTACGATGCGTGAATATAAAATTTAAATCAGGTGCGTGAGATCCACAGAATACTTTTCTCCTGGTGCGATCACTCTGGGAGCTTGTAGCAAACTAAAGTGCGCCCAACGTGTGGACGCGGCGGCCAATACTCTGCCACAGCCCTTTGATCTTTTGTAAAAAACCGACACCACATGGATGTCGCGCCAACTTGTGGGCCATCATTCCAATACATACCAATGTAAGCACAAACACCCGCTCTACACGATAGCCATTGGTATTGGCCAACACATTCTCCACTATGTTGGCCAAGGTGAAGAGCCGCCATTATATATACAATGTCTTAGGACAGTCTTCATAATGTGAAATTAATTTATTAATGATGGTAAGTGGCTACGGCAGCGCATGGACACCAGCAACAAAATACAAACAAAGAAAAAACTGTCTGTCTGTCCTGGCTAACCTGTAGAATGGCTGAATCGATGAATGAAACTTCATGAAAAGATAATATGGCTAAGACTATATTTTATACGATGACTTGGAGAAAGGAGTCATGTCCTGTAATAGGACTTGTTGTTATCCTCATCTGTGGATCTGTGGACCTTGGTTGTGCGACTGTTTATTTCTTGCAGGGCCTCTCTAGCTTGCCTGCAGTCCACTAGATTTTTCCAAAGCTGAGCGTTTTGATTAGTAAAATTTTTACGTACCAGTGAACGAACGTTACCAAAAGGGATCGATATGATCGGTTCCGATCCTATAACGGCCATAGCCGATCCTCTCCTGGCCAGTTCGTGTGCTGCGTCGCTGCTCCTGGATCCATTGTGTCCCTTGATTCATTGCAGAGTCACATTGTTGTGTGATGATTATTGTAAATTTTGATAACGCCATATTAATAGATCTTACCCTGCTGAAGACAGTTCTAAATAACATGAAGTCTAATTCGCCATAGGAAATTTAATAATATTTTTGTACCTTTCGTCTTATAGGTGGTATCGTCGGCCATTGTAGATAAATACATCGGCGAGTCGGCTCGTTTGATCCGCGAGATGTTCAACTACGCGCGGGACCACCAGCCTTGCATCATTTTCATGGACGAAATCGATGCCATTGGTGAGTAAAGATACAATATTGCTCATAGAGATGTTACTAATTGTAGTTAGTAAGATGGTAATAAGTATATGTTCTATGTATTGGCGTTAAAACATTGGTGTTGTAAATCGTAATTTTTGGAAAGTAACAGAATAGTATGGAATAGAATTATTTTTATTCAATACTAGCGGTTCGCCCCGGCGTCGCACGGGTGATTTCTATATTTTGACAACAGCGCCACCTATCTGGTCCAATTGTGAATCTAAACCCTTCTCGGATCACCTACATCACACCCACACAAAAACTCATCAAAATCGGTCTAGCCGTTTAGGAGGTGTTCAGTCACATATACACGGACAGTAGAATTATATAATACTAGCTTTTGGCCGTGACGTCGTCCGCGTAGATATTATACATTAAACCATAGGTGATGCATCAATAATCGCACTTTCATAGTAAATTCCGTCACCCTCTTTAGTGATGGTTTATGTTATAAAGCTATCCTATTTCCTTCCCCGGGACTTAAACTATCTCGATACCAAATTTTATCTAATTCAGTTCAGCGGTTTAAGCGTGAGGTACATTTGCTCCCGCGGCGATGAGCGATGTTTTCCCCATCTCGCCCGCAGTACGCCCGACTGTCCTGCGCGCGCCGGACCGCACAATTTTATATCGTCGTTACTTTTAAAATATTTGACCAAATTGCGTAGTTTAAAAGACAAAGTTTATCTACTTTGAACATCAGAAGCGATTAAAATATTTATTTTGATAAAATCCATTTGTTACTGCAAATTGTGCATTGGAAATAAAGTATCAAATTTAATTTTATTTATGATTCACTATTTTGGTAATAATGGCTTGCACATAAAAGATAGATATATACTATCGGGGACTTTTTCGTAGAACTATTTAGGAGAAACAATTCCACCATACATTATATTTGTGTAACTCTGACAGTTTTTGCACTGCGCGCCAAAATAGCTCGCAGATGATAGATTTTTCCGACTTACTTAACAATTATCGTTCTATTCTGACCAATTTACAAAATATCTTTATTTATTATAGCCTGTGCTGTTGTGTTTAATTTAATAAGTTTCTTTAAAATACATTCAGTAGTTTTTGCGTGAAACTACTGAATGTAACTAACAAACATCCATAAATCCTCACAAACTTTCACGTTTATAATATTAGTAGAATAGATTACATGTAATTCTTATTGAAAATATTTTTTTACTTTTACCACTGTTTCGGAAAAGACCTCTGTCCTGGGAAGGACCGGCGAGAAACCCAGCAGGATTTTTTAAAGCATTTTTTTTATCGGAATAGGGTGACCAACGAGCACACAGTCCACCTGGTGGTAAGTGGTTGCTGTGGCCCATAGACATCTACATTTATCCTCGTTTGCGAATCAAAATGCAGATGCGTTGTCACCCGTGAGGACTAAGATGGAATGCCTCTTTGCCAGTAAAAAGGGTCTCCGGTTCTCTACACTCACCATACAAAACACAGCAGTGTTAAGCTGCTATTTTACGCTGGTATCCTGTGAGAGCGTGGTCATTCCCCGGTCGAGCCGACCCATTCGTGCTACAACTATACTACTAATGTAGCTGCAGCATGGCTCTACCACGTATAAAATAAATATTTTAAACCTTTTGACACATAAAATCTACATATTTTCTGGAACTTAGTTGTAAAAGCGTATGTATATATTGCCCCATGAAGGAATTACTGATTCGAGTAACTGGCATAACTGACTTGTGCTTGTTCCTAGTTTTAGTTTACTGAATGTATGTCACTGTTTTTAATTAAACTATTGTTGTTTTTGTGTACATACATTAAATTAGTGTCGTAATTATTTGTATGTTATATAATAATTGATTACTACAACAGTAAAGTAATACTAGCCTGTTTTTGCACGTTGTAGAGCCATGCTGCAGCTATATTAGTAGTATAGTTATAGCACGAATGGGTCGGCTCGACCGGAGAAGGACCACGCTCTCACAGAATACCAGCGTCAAATAGCAGCTTAACACTGCTGTGTTTCGTATGGTGAGTGTAGAGAACCGGGGACCCTTTTTACTGGAATCGAGGCATTCCATCTTAATCCTCACGGGTGACAACGCATCTGCATTTGGATTCGCAAACGAAGATAGATGTAGATGTATATGGGCCACACCAACCACTTACCATCAGGTGAACTGTGTGCAGTGCTTTGGTGGATTTCAAATACCTTCTTTAATATTTTTTTTAGGTGGTAGAGTCACAGTGCAGCTTTATATGGTTATAGCATGAATGGGTCGGCTCGACCGTGGAAGAACCACGCTCTCACAGAATACCAGCGTGAAATAGCAACTTAATGTTTCTATGTTTCGTATAGTGGGTGTAGAGAACCGAAGAACCCTTTTTATTAGTAACGAGGCATTCCATATTAGTCCTCAGGGATGACAACGCATCTGCATTTGGATTCGCAAACGAAGATAGATGTAGATGTATATGGGCCACACCAACCACTTACCATCAGGTGAACTGTGTGCAGTGCTTTGGTGGATTTCAAATACCTTCTTTAATATTTTTTTTAGGTGGTAGAGTCACAGTGCAGCTTTATATGGTTATAGCATGAATGGGTCGGCTCGACCGTGGAAGAACCACGCTCTCACAGAATACCAGCGTGAAATAGCAACTTAATGTTTCTATGTTTCGTATAGTGGGTGTAGAGAACCGAAGAACCCTTTTTATTAGTAACGAGGCATTCCATATTAGTCCTCAGGGATGACAACGCATCTGCATTTTGATTCTTAATCGAGGATAAATTTAGATGTCTATGGGCCACAGCAACTGCTTACCATCAGGTGGACTGTGTGCTCGTTTGCTAACCTTCACCTATAAAAACAGTTGGTTTTGTAAATCGTAATTTTTGTAAAGTAATATACTACTACTGTCCCATGGCACTCGTTATTTCCCAGAAAGTTTTAAATTTCCACTGCTCCAGTACTTGGCGGATTACAAATATCTTCCAAATAATATCTTTTACTCCTTCAAATAGACTAAAGAACATCACAATCTTGATACTGTCCAAATAATTCCAGTAAAAACATTCCATCCCCTAGTTTACTACACGTATGCCCAAATACTCAAATGAATTTTCTACCGACTTCAAAAAGGAGACGGTACTCAATACGACTGTGTTTTTTTATGTGTGTTACCTCATAACTGTTTACTGGGTGAACCGATTTCGATGATTCTTTTTTTATTTGAAAGCTGGTGCTTCACATGTGGTCCCATATAAATTCCATCAAGGTTTGACCAATAGTTTTGAGTTATTTTTAATAGTTTATATTGAAGTTAGTTTTACAAAATTTTAAATTATAAATTATAAGATTCCGATAAGTCTCTTGCTGTCTCTATCAAAGTCAAAGTGACTGTAACACCACAAGACTTAACAACATCTTAAAATTGAGCGGCGGTTGAGTATTTGGCCGTTAGGGCTGGATTTTTTTTGCAAATGTATACGGGACCATCCCTTAACCCCTTACCGCATACCAAGCGATAGGGCCTCCTTTAGGTTCAGTGTGTCGTGATAGAATTAGTCATTTTCCCATTTGGGAGAAAAATACCCGATAGACATGCCAGTATTGTTCAAAATATCGTTCTTTCACTAAATCTGAAAAATGTAATGTTTATTTATGTTATAACGACAAACGCAATTTGTTTTAGGGAGTTCCACAAAATATAATTCATATTTTTCTTAAACACATACGAAGCCGCATAAGGCTTCAAGTAATAACTTCTAATATCTTAATTATTTTTTTTCATTTCAATTTGATCTCATGTAAGTATTAGACACTATTACGTTAAAGAAGAATTTTCGTTCAATCTCTTTAATTATTCATGCGGTAAGGGGTTAAGTATAAACTTTTAATAATAAAAAAATCATCAAAAGCGCTTCACAAGTGATGAAGATCTCATCACGTCTAGATCTGGTTTGTTTATGCTTTTACCACTGGTTCGCATAAAACATCTGTCATTTAAAAAACTAGCAAGAAACTCTATAAGGCTTTTATTATCAGGTGGGAGACGTTTCTCCGAGGGCACCAGCGCCGACCGTGAGATCCAGCGCACGCTGATGGAACTGCTGAACCAGATGGACGGGTTCGATTCCCTGGGGCAGGTGAAGATCATCATGGCCACCAACAGACCCGACACCTTGGACCCCGCGCTACTTCGGCCCGGACGTTTGGACAGGAAGATCGAGATTCCTCTCCCCAACGAACAGGCCAGGTAAGTTTTTGGATCTTTGGACTACAAATTTTTCTAGTCTTTGTTTTTGTTGTGTGTGAGCTTGATTTTTTTTCGACTCTGAATTCTCTTTTGTCTTATCATGTCTGAAAATTTACTTAATTTCTTATGAATCTACATTGAACATTTATTTTATTAAATTCTATAATAGATAACGTGTGAATAGTATAGTGGGTTATACCTAGTCAGGTCATAAGTATTGTCACACAGTAAAAACTTTTCTTTTAGAATGCTGGCCACAAAAATTTTTATTGAATTCGAATTTCGAATTGTTCATGAAAATAAAACTGTATACTTTTTAGAATTTTACTCATTTTTAAATATGGAGTGGACGCTTAAAGAAGACCGTGTTGCAGTTATTGCGTTGCATCCTTGCGGTTACGCGCCAATTCAAATTTTAGACATACTGAAAAATTTGAATATAACCAAAAGATTCGTTTATCGTACCATCAAACGATACAATGAAGACTCTAGTGTAGATGACAGGTCAAGAAGTGGTCGGCCTCGGTCTGTTAGGACTCCAGCCGGGCTATTCACAATCGTCTCGGAAACCGAAATCGACTTGCATTCGATAACTTCTCGCACCGAAACCAATAAACGCCATTCACATTTAACGTACGGATAAAGTTTACTTAGATACATCCTATAACCTATTATATCGTCATTTAGTTACATGCATTTACGAATTTTGTAGATAAATAGGCTTTTGTATTTTTTTAGAGTAACGCCTGAACAAAAACATAATGCAATATTTTGGAGTTAGCCATTGATATCGAATATAAAAAATATATAATTTAACTATATAATAAATAACAAAAAACTGAGATATGTCTCGTTTCTGTCGGGTCTGGGTTTTTTTCTATGGGGCGTGACCGTACTTCTTTGACGTTTGTTTTCGATAATTGTAACAGTTTGCATCGGAAACTTCACGAGAGCTCTGAGGCTGGCGAAAACTTTTCGAATATTGATGATTAGAAGACATAAATAAACCCTTTTAATTTAACGGTGGTAGAGCCACGCAGCAGTTTTTGCTGTTGCATGTATGGGCCGGCTCGAGCCGGGTTGGTACCACGACCTCACAGAATACCGGCGTGAAGTAGAAGCTTTGCTTCGTCGATTCGTCTGGTGAGTGCAGGTGGCCGGAGGCCCAATTCCCCCCCCCCCCATCAACATGGTAGCGGAATTATACGAAGAACTACCCCAGGAGGGTACCAGCACCCCTGGAGAATCCCTCGCTGAGCATCCACGACCATGTTATTCCGATCCTGAGCGTGGGTGCTCAGGCTGCCCCGCGTATTCTGGGGGGGGCAAAATTCCGCTCAAAAGCATTACTGCTAGGGGCAAACTGAGCAAGAACACCAAGGCGACCCCTGCCACGCTATCCGTGAATTTCTGCAACATCAGGGGACTTCACTCTAACCTAAACGCCGTCCACTACCATCTCGAGACGGCGAAGCCGGCCTTGCTCTTTCTGACCGAGACGCAGGTTTCCTCTCCGGCTGATATTTCGTATCTCTCCTACCCGGGGTACAAATTGGAGCATTCCTTTGTGCCTCGGGCTGGAGTTTGCGTGTATGTCAGAGAGGACATCTGTTCTCGACGCCTCGGCAGTCTTGAAGGTTCGGACCTGTCCATCCTTTGGCTTCGCGTAGACAGCGACGACCATCCGCGCGTCTACGGATGCCTCTATAGGTCCCATAGCGGTAATGCCGAAACAGACCGACTCATCGACCACGTCCAAATGGCTACAGATTTCTTGCTACAACAGGTCCCATCCGCAGAGATCGTGATCCTTGGCGATTTTAACGCCCACCATGCCGAATGGCTCGGTTCACGTCTAACCGATCATGCGGGGAGATCTGTTTATGACTTTGCCTTGGCATATGGTCTGACACAACTGGTTACTTCGCCTACGCGGATTCCAGATGTGGAGGATCATACACCTTCCCTGTTGGACCTTCTGCTGACCTCTCATCCGGACGGATATCAGGTTTCCGTCGATGCCCCTCTCGGCTCTTCGGACCATTGTCTGATCCGGAGTGTGGTGCCACTCACGCTCCCTTCGCGGTTGCGTTCTGCAGGTTGCCGCCGTGTTTGGCATTACAGGTCGGCGGATTGGGACGGAATGCAGTCCTTCTTTGCATCCTACCCATGGGGGCGGGTTTGCTTCTCGCCGGATGATCCCAGCGCTGTTGCTGACTCTGTCACTGATGTGGTGCTACAGGGAATGGAACTATTTATTCCATCATCTGTGGTACCCATCGGAGGCAGATCTCAGCTTTGGTTTGGTCGCTCCTGTAAGACTGCATTACGCAGTAAGCAGGAGTGTTATCAAGCCTGGGCTGCGGCTTCGGCGACTCGGGATGCAAATACCAGCACACTTAAAAAGAAGTATAACTTCGCCTCCAGGTCCTTCAAAAGAGTTATTGCCAAGGCAAAGTCAGAGCACATAGGCAGAATTGGCGAGAAACTAGTTCGCCTTCCTTCGGGAACCCGTGCATTCTGGTCTCTCGCCAAGGCTGTCCAAGGGAATTTCTGTAAGCCATCACTGCCATCTCTGCACAGGGAGGATGACTCACTGGCCCATGACGCAAAAGACAAAGCCGACCTTTTAGGCTCCCTTTTTGCGTCCAACTCGACTCTTGATGACGGGGGGAAGACACCGCCGACTATCCCGCGGTGTGAGTGCTCCATGCCGGATGTGCTGTTCTCACAGCGCTCGGTTCGCAAAGCACTGCTCTCCCTGGACATCCAGAAGTCGAGTGGGCCTGACGGAATCCCCCCAATTGTGCTGAGGACGTGTGCTCCGGAGTTGGCACCGGTCCTAACGCGTCTTTTCCGGTACTCCTACTCCCAAGGCGTAGTCCCGAATTCATGGAAGACAGCTTTTGTCCACCCGATCCCTAAAAAAGGCGACCGCTCAGACCCATCCAACTATAGGCCTATAGCGATCACCTCCTTGTTTTCCAAAATAATGGAATCCATTATTAACTGCCAGCTCATCCGGTACCTTGAGGATCACCAGCTGATTAGTGACCGCCAATACGGTTTTCGTCGGGGTCGATCAGCTGGTGATCTTCTGGTCTACCTGACCCATAGATGGGCGGAGGCAGTAGAGTCCAAGGGGGAGGCGTTGGCCGTTAGTGTGGACATTGCGAAGGCCTTCGATCGGGTTTGGCACAAAGCGCTTCTTTCGAAGCTCCCTTCCTATGAGCTTCCCGAGAAATTGTGCAATTGGATCACCAGCTTCCTTGCAGATCGGAGCATCAAGGTCGTTGTAGACGGTGCATGCTCTGACTACAAGCCTATTAACGCTGGTGTTCCACAAGGCTGTGTGCTATCACCAACGCTGTTTCTTCTGCATATCAATGATATGTTGCTAACTGGTAACATTCATTGCTATGCGGATGACAGCACTGGTGATGCTCTATACACCGCCCGTGCCAATATTTCTCGGGAAAACGTCGCTGAGTACCGGAACAAACTTGTGTCTGAAGTCGAGTCTTTGCTGAACAAAGTCTCGGATTGGGGGCGACTAAATCTAGTCCAATTTAATCCTCAGAAGACACAAGTTTGCGCGTTTACCGCTAAAAAGAACCCCTTTGTCGTATCTCCTCAGTTTCAAGGCACTCCCCTTCTTGCCTCAGCCAGTATCGGTATCCTCGGAGTCGACATATCGAGTGATGTGCAGTTTCGTGGTCACTTGGAAGGGAAGGCCAAATTGGCCTCTAAAAAGCTTGGCGTGCTCAGCAGAGCGGGACAGTATTTCATGCCGGCACACCGCCTGCTACTTTACAAGGCGCAAGTTCGGCCTCACATGGAATACTGTTCCCATCTCTGGGCAGGGGCTCCCCAGTGCCAGCTCCTTCCACTTGACCGCATCCAACGCAGAGCGGCTCGAATTGTCGACGACCGAGCCCTTTCCGATCGGCTCGATTCATTGGCACTGCGAAGAGATGTTGCATCTCTTTGCATTTTCTTTCGCATCTACCATGGGGAGTGCTCTGAGGAATTGTTCGGATTAATCCCAGCCGCCAAATTTCACGAACGCACATCGCGGCAGAACTCCCGATACCATCCACACCATCTGGATGATTGGCGGTCCACCACTGTGCGATTTAGAAGATGTTTTCTTCCTCGCACGACCTCCTTGTGGAATCGATTACCATCAGCGATTTTTCCGGACCGATACGACTTAGGGACCTTCAAGAAAAGAGCGTACTCCTTTTTAAAAGGCCGGCAACGCATCTGCGATTCCCCTGGTGTTGCAGTTGTTCATGGGCGGCGGTAGTTACTTACCATCAGGTGAGCCGCATGCTCGTTTGCCCCGTCTCCTATAAAAAAAAAATATAATTACTTCAATATTTGCACTTAATCGTAAAGCTGAATTTTTGTGAAAGGTGTGTTTTTATAAGTTTGCTATCACAAAGCAGCATATATATATATATATATATATATATATATATATATATATATATATATATATATATATATATATATGCTGCTTTGTGAAACGAGACATATCTCAGTTTTTTTGTTATTTATTATAAGTGACCTTTATCCGAAGTCCGAACTTTAAATGTGAATAGCGTTTATTGGCTTCGGTGCGGGAAGTTATCGAATCCGAGTCGATTTCGCTTTCCGAGACGATTGTGAATAGCCCGGCGGCAGTGATAAAAGCTGTGAAGGCGCGAATTCAAAGAAATCCCAAACGTAAGCAGAAACTGTTGGCCCTTCAGATGGGTTTAAGCAGAACCACGGTGAAAAGGGTGTTAAATGAAGACTTAGGGCTTCGGGCATATCGAAGAAAAATAGGACATCGTTTGAATGCTCGTCTAATGGACCTGAGACTGAAGAGATGCCGCGCTTTGTTGAAGCGGTACGCGGGAAAAATATCGGGAAATTCTTTTTTCGGATGAAAAAATTTTTACCGTAGAAGAGAGCTACAACAAACAAAATGATAAGGTGTACATTTTGTTTGTTGTAGCTGACACAGTAGTGAAGAAGCGAGCAACCGTATTCTGGTAAACTTTTTCTTCAATCTCTTAGTAGACAAAAACTTTGTGAATTGAATCGCACACAGAGGAGCGCACGTAAGCGTAGTTATTGCATAGACATCACATTCAATTTGGGATAATTTCAAATAAAAGGAGAAGCCTTATTTACTCGTATTTTAAAAACAACAAAAATTTATATCAGTATTTAGTATATATTTGAACTTAAATGTTAAATTTGGGTACACTTAGAAAAATAACCCTGTATAAAAAATGATTGATTGATTGATGCCCTTTGGTCATCATTTACATTCATATTTATGTTGTAGTTGTAGCCGGTGGAAGAAAAAGGGGAGATCTCAAGGTGTTCTGCCCGGGGAGCGGCAAACGCTCCGAGTGGTAGTTCGGAGCTATTCTATATGTCGGAGCGTCTATAAAATACCTGGTTAGATCGAGGTAGAATGGCGGTTTATCGAGAAACCCCCTCTTGTGTCTGTAGTATAAAGTTCATTGTAGGTGCCGTGCGCGGGAGAGTTCGCTCAAGTTATTCAACGAATGTGGTCATTCTACTAGTGCTAAGATAGTGTCGTGGTTTTATTCGTTGTTGTAATTCTTCTAGTACAGGCAAGGAGGATTAGTGTTGCTGAGAGTTGAGATAAGTGGTGTTGCTGTTGGTTTACATATTTTGGTGTTATCATGTAATTACGTACCTCACGTTACACTGGTGTGTGATTGTGGCAGAGACGTGTTACCGTGTGGTCGAACTGTAATTTCACTATACTGAATGTATAGTGCGTTACGTTGCCTTATTACTGATAATGATTAAACTGCGTAAGCAAGAGAGCAAGTTGAACATCCGCTCTCACACTTTTATTATTTTTAACAATTAACGCTATCCTGATGTATTTCCAAGATCAAAATTGGAATCCTCTGTTGTAATTCTCCGACATCAGAAGTGGGATCTCCCGTTGTCATTTCCGATATCAGAAGTGGGATAAAGTCCCTGTTACTGCCCACCTATAACCTTTGAATAGTGTGAGGGTGAACTAATAAACGTTGGTGAAATACTATGATGCGCCTCGCGTTTTGTTTTTGTGTTCAATTTCTTAAATCAAGTTTGTTGTCGTATTTACAACGCTGACGAATTATTAAAGTGTAGAGTAAAAGTTAAAAGTGGAAATATTTTGAAGCCAAAAGTTAAATGTTTTGTTCGATTTATAAAAAAAAGTACCTGCAAGTACTTTCATTATTTCTTAACGTACCCAAATATGATAACAAATGTCGAAAGAAATGTTGGAGGTATTCTAAATGAGTTATACTTTGCATTCAGTGGAAATTTAACTTGCTCGAGTGTTATAATTTCATACACGAGGTGTGATTTACGTGGGCTAATTTTAAAGTTTAAAATGTTTAAACGATGTACCGAAAAATGTTTAACGTTAACGTGCTATTAATTAAAAACACTAAGTTGTATTTCTGTGTTCTAATGTGTTGATAAGTGTTACAGTTTACTGCGAGTATTACGTAGTCGATAAAATTGGGACTTGATGTTGAGGGTTTAGTGGAACGCGTGGTGCTGTGGCGCTCGCTCTTGAGTGGAAATATGCTGTCGGCTTATGACGCCGCGACCACGTTAATTGCCGCTGCTACCGATCACCATTTGATACATGAGGAAAGTAAATTTATTCCTAACATTGTCTTAAAACATATTTTGTAAGAATAAGTGTTTACATTTTTAATTGGTTGCGAAAAATGGCGGAAAACCAAAGTATAACTGATGAAAGTTAAGTAGAGCAAATTAGTTCTGACATTGAAGAGAGTATTTAAGTTTACAGGAGGATCGGACCGTACCAGAGGTTGTCGTGTAGCTGCAGCTCAGTATATGGTGCCCTGGAAAGGCGAATGGTGTCTCGAGAGTAGTGCTGAATTTTGTGGAAAAAAAGTTCCTACTGAATCTTTTAATGTTTTCTTTTATGTGTTACAGTAGTACGTGTGATGTGATTACATGTGTGCGAGCGTAAGGCGAGGGTGTGCCTTGCTAGTCGGAACGGACTGCCGGGTCCAGCTATAGTATGGCCTGGTTTCGGCAGACGCGTTTGCTGCACGCGTGGTGGGCGCCATCCCGGAGCGCGCGTATGCTATACATGACGATGCCTCTGAAGTCGTGTACTCTGTATGCGCGGAAGTCATGCACTGTGTGCGCAGAAGTCGTAGACTCTGTGTGCGCAGTAGTGTTTTCTAAACATGTATCAGGCTCTGTCCTGGCAGGCGCTGTCCTCGTCCACGTTTTTAACGTGGTTCACGTGGTTAACGTGGGATCTTGCAAGTTCAAGATTATGTGTGAGATACTTCGTATGGAGACGTATGCTTACTTGTGAAAGCGAAGTTATTATAGTCCACGGTATGAGTGACGTATTGACGTTTGCTGTGTCAGCAATCCCAGCGGTGTGCTGATGATAATACTGGTGAGTCGTACCCATTTTATTATGATTCTGGTGCCGAATGAGAGAGCCTCATCAAAGATTGTGTTGCGCCAAAGTTTGGTGACAAAAGTGTAAATAATATTGTAAATTCAACCGAAAGTGGTCATTTTAGTGTGCAAAGTACCCCACAAATACCCCCCATGATCATGTGAGGAAGATCCCCGATCACCAAGTTCCTCGAGAGTTAGATGTCATAGTTGATGACAGTGGTAGTGAGACCAAATTTGATTAAGAATGCTTGTATACTCATACTCAAAACTTTAGACCGCACATGTGGCGATGGGTCTGTAGGAAATCGTTGGTGCGATTTCTGTCTGTGTTGGTGCATATTTGGCGGCAGATATGTAGGGAATCGTTGGTGCGATTCTGGCATATGTGGCGACAGATGTGTTGTAGCATATTTGGCGGTGGATATGTGGAAAATCGTTGGTGCGATTCTGGCATATGTGACGGCAGATATATAAAGAATCGTTGCTGCGATTCTGGCCTGTGTTGGTGCACAGAGCCCCTCGTGTATTGTAGCATATGTGACGGAAGATATGTCGAGAATCGTTGGTGCGATTCTGGCATATGTGACTGCGTATATGTGAAGAATCGTTGGTGCGATTCTGGTCTGTGTTGGTGCACAGATTTCAATGAAAGTTTCACGAGTTGAATATGCATTGCTTATGAGTTGTAAAGAGTAAAAAAATTGTTAAAATTACTGTGTTGGAACTTGTTGATCGGACCTTCCACAATAAATCATGTTGTGCAGGAAGCACTGTGTACGAAGCCTTAATAACGGGGCATTGTCAATAATGACAGTTGGCTATTGTACTTAGACTTAGGAGAAGTAAAGTACCATTTGGAATCGATCTTGTTTCGATTGGCAGGATAGCCGAGCTAGATTAATCTCTGAGCATATTTCTGTCCACAGGCACTACCGAGGACAGGTGTTGGTAAGGGATGGCCGTGTCATGGCTTGATGGCGCTATGGTGCAACAAGCAGCGCCATCTAACAATTTAGTTTTGCGAACTAATAATATGTACCCACTCATGTCAGGATGGACGAGCGGACGAATTGGTGTTTGTGAATTACAGGAATTCATGAAAATACACGCCCGAGGACGGTCGTACGTCAGGATGGCCGTGTCGGAGCGTCTATAAAATACCTGGTTGGATCGAGGTAGAATGGAGGGTATATCGAGAAACCCCCTCTTGTGTCTGTAGTATAAAGTTCATTGTAGGTGCCGTGCGCGGGTGAGTTCGCTCAAGTTATTCAACGAGTGTGGTCATTCTACTAGTGCTAAGATAGTGTCGTGGTTTTATTCGTTGTAATTCTTCTAGTACAGGCAAGGAGGATTAGTGTTGCTGAGAGTTGAGATAAGTGGTGTTGCTGTTGGTTTACATATTTTGGTGTTATCATGTAATTACGTACCTCACGTTACACTGGTGTGTGATTGTGGCAGAGACGTGTTACCGTGTGGTCGAACTGTAATTTCACTATACTGAATGTATAGTGTGTTACGTTGCCTTATTACTGATAATGATTAAACTGCGTAAGCACGAGAGCAAGTTGAACATCCGCTCTCACACTTTTATTATTTTTAACAATTAACGCTATCCTGATGTATTTCCAAGATCAAAATTGGAATCCTCTGTTGTAATTCTCCGACATCAGAAGTGGGATCTCCCGTTGTCATTTCCGATATATATATAAACTGCTTTAACTTCGGAACTTTGTTAGCGCGATTTAGGCTTCGATGTGTTTCGCTTGTGGCGCGACGACAGCGCCGCCACAATGTCTTGATTTTTTTATGAGCCCGTAAAAGTCGATAGCTGGACAAGGACCCTTTAATTGTAGGGAAAATTCGCCTTAATCGCCACGCACGGCATGCGTATTGGCTTGGCGATTGTAGTTTTATGAATGTCGTTTTTGATTTTCTAGATTGGAAATTCTAAAAATCCACGCCGCGCCGATAGCGAAGCACGGCGAGATGGACTACGAGGCTGTGGTGAAGCTGTCGGACACCTTCAACGGAGCCGATCAGAGGAATGTGTGCACCGAAGCTGGTCTATTCGCCATTCGTGCCGAGAGAGAGTACATTATACAGGTAAATGACGTCCTTAAAGATAAAAGAGCCGTGGTAGGTCAGGGGCTGAGCGCTCGCTGTAAATTTTCATTATACTCGTATAGCAACTCAAGTACGATCCCAAGCACCAATGAAATTGTTAATTGCAATTTTAAGTAGTGATTTACCACGTGCTCGGGGGTGAAGGAAGACAATGTGAGGAAATCTGCATGTCTAAGAAATAAGAAAAAATATTTCGAAGACATGTGAGTTCGCCAACACGCATTGGGGCATCGCGGCGAACACTTCCTTGCCCTAAAACCCTCTCAAATATGAGAGGAGGCCTGTGCCCAGCAGTGGGACGTATGTAGGCTGTAACTTTAAATATAAACGATTGACTCATTATAATAATGATGCCCGTTGTATGGCGTATTATAAGTTTTTTTTTCGACCCTGAATTCTCTTATGTCTTATCATGTCTGAAAACTTACTTAATTTCTTATGTATCTACATTGAACATTTATTTCAGTAAATTCTTTAATATTTAACGTGTGAATAGGATAGTGGGTTATATATTAGTTTAATCTCTAACGGTATAATTGTCAAATTGTTATATTCCATTGTTCAACTATTCGCTGTTCCATCGAAATAAAAAAAGAAAAAACCATGGTCGTTCTCATGACCGATTTATAATTGTTACAGCTATTCCAAACATTAGATTAGCCTGGACAGACAGACAGATACACATTTTGAAAATGATTATTTACGTCTTAATGGTCATACATACTTAAGCTATAGCATAAGCTTGTTATAAGGCAGTTATTTCGATTACAGGCAGCCACTTCGATTTTTTTTTACAGGATAAGGGTGACTAACGAGCACACAGTCCACCTGATGGCAAACGGATACTGTGGCCCATAGACATCTACATTTATCCTCGATTAGGAATCAAAATACAGATGCGTTGTCACCCGTGAGCATTAAGATGGAATACCGCGTTTCCAGTTAAAAGGATTTCCGGTTCTCTACACTCACCATACGAAACACAGCAGCATTAAGGACGCGTTTACAAAATTGATAGGTATAAAATCGAACTATTATATTGACACTGGTCACACACACAAGTGTACGCACGGTTAGCTGCGGGAATCGCAATCAAGTATAAACATTTTGATAATTTGAAAGATTGTTTTTTTTTTATATTTCTTATTACCTACAAAAATATACTTAGATACGAAATATAAATGGCTGCTCCAGAGACAGCTAGGTACTAGAAGCCATCTACAGGGAGTGAGATGTTGGCTGTGGACTTTGAGCTGGTTTTGTTAGTTATGATAACTTCAGCTCCGAACTTGGTGAAGTGACTTGAAGGTATACTTGGGTGACTGCTACTGGAAGTCCGGGACGAGTAGTACCATGTGTGCCGAGTTTGGGCTCATTATATTAGTTATGATGAGACCTTACCTCCGGACTTGACAGAATGACCTGATGGTGTACGTTGGTGACTACTACTGCAACTCCTGGACGAGTAGAACTAGGTGTGCCGAGCTTGGGCTCGTTTTGTTAGTTATGGCGAGATCTTACCTCCGGAATTGATGGGAGACCTGATGGTGTACTTCAGTGACTACTACTGGAACTCCTGGGCGAGTAGAACTAGGTGTGCCGAGTTAGGGCTCATTATGTTAGTTATGACGAGACCTTACCTCCGGACTTGAAGGAATGACCTGAAGGTGTACTTCGGTAACTGCTAGTGGAACTCCTGGACGAGTAGAACTAGGTATGCCAAGTTTGGGCTCGTTTTGTTAGTTACGACGAGACCTTACCTCCGGACTTGACAGAATGACCTGATGGTGTACGTTGGTGACTACTACTGCAACTCCTGGACGAGTAAAACTAGGTATGCGTAGTTTGGGCTCGTTTTGTTAGTTACGATGAGGCCTTACCTCCGGACTTGACAGAATGACCTGATGGTGTACGTTGGTGACTACTACTGCAACTCCTGGACGAGTAAAACTAGGTATGCGTAGTTTGGGCTCGTTTTGTTAGTTACGATGAGGCCTTACCTCCGGACTTGACAGAATGACCTGATGGTGTACGTTGGTGACTACTACTGCAACTCCTGGACGAGTAGAAGTAGGTGTGCAGAGTTAGGGCTCATTATGCTAGTTATGACGAAACCTTACCTCCGGACTTAATGGAGAGACCTGATGGTGTAATTTAGTGACTACTACTGGAACTCCTAGACGAGTAGAACTAGGTATGCCAAGTTTGGGCTCGTTTTGTTAGTTACGACGAGACCTTACCTCCGGACTTGACAGAATGACCTGATGGTGTACGTTGGTGACTACTACTGCAACTCCTGGACGAGTAAAACTAGGTATGCGTAGTTTGGGCTCGTTTTGTTAGTTACGATGAGGCCTTACCTCCGGACTTGACAGAATGACCTGATGGTGTACGTTGGTGACTACTACTGCAACTCCTGGACGAGTAGAAGTAGGTGTGCAGAGTTAGGGCTCATTATGCTAGTTATGACGAAACCTTACCTCCGGACTTAATGGAGAGACCTGATGGTGTAATTTAGTGACTACTACTGGAACTCCTAGACGAGTAGAACTAGGTATGCCAAGTTTGGGCTCGTTTTGTTAGTTACGACGTGACCTTACCTCCGGACTTGATAGAATGACCTGATGGTGTACGTTGGTGACTACTACTGCAACTCCTGGACGAGTAGAACTAGGTGTGTCGAGTTTGTTAGTTATGATGCGCAGTTGCCCTTGAATTTGGTAATACCATTTATATTTTCTCCGACATGCCTAAACTCGGCACACCCAGTTCTACTCTTCCAGGAGTTACGAAGTACACCATCAGGTCTCTCATCAAGTTCGGAGGTAAGGTATCGTCATAACTAACAAAACGAGCCCAAACACGGCACACCTAGTTCTACTCGTACAGGAGTTGCAGTAGTAGTCACCAACATACACCATCAGGTCATTCTGTCAAGTCCGGAGGTAAGATCTCGTCATAACTCACAAAACGAGCCCAAACACGGCACACCTAGTTCTACTCGTCCAGGAGTTGCAGTAGTAGTCACCAACGTACACCATCAGGTCATTCTGTCCAGTCCGGAGGTAAGGTCTCGTCATAACTAACAAAACGAGCCCAAACACGGCACACCTAGTTCTACTCGTCCAGGAGTTGCAGTAGTAGTCACCAACGTACACCATCAGGTCATTCTATCAAGTCTGGAGGTAAGGTCTCGTCGTAACTAACAAAACGAGCCCAAACTTGGCATACCTAGTTCTACTCGTCCAGGAGTTCCACTAGCAGTTACCGAAGTACACCTTCAGGTCATTCCTTCAAGTCCGGAGGTAAGGTCTCGTCATAACTAACATAATGAGCCCAAACTCGGCACACCTAGTTCAACGCGTCGAGGAGTTCTAGTAGCATTCACCGTATACTTTCAGATCACTCCATAAAGTCCAAGACGAATAGGATTTATATATATTTATATATTATAAATCCCACTTGCTTTTAGCGAAACAAAAAATTATAATAAGAATTTGTGATTATAAAAATATTTATATTATCTATGTATTATTTTACTTTGTCAGGTCATGTACCTATGTATCAAATTCGAATATTTTGTGTTTGTACAACGATCTTATTCAGCTGCTGCAGGCGATACAGCGACCACCCGCGATAGCGGCCGAGCGCCGACTGTGGTTTCATCGAAATTTTTGTACAACAAATCAAAACAGACACTAAAAATAAAATAACCCTTATTGCAATACTTTAGGATTCATCCGTATCAGCAAAATATGTCAAAAAATAAGCATCAGTTTTTATTTTTTTTACGACCATTTGTGACATTTTGATAAAAAGTAATCACCAGCATTTTTTATTGAATATGTCTGCCTACTTACAGTATTTTTAGATATCTTAATATATGTTGATAATAGAACAAAAAATGTACCGAAATATGAGCCGGTATCGTTAATTTTGTAGTAAATGGCTAGGGAAGATCCTTTTTACAATGTAAAAAACTATTATTTTCAACAAAAAAGTTACCACTATTTGAAGATAAAGAACCATTCTATACGTTGTAGTTATTAGTTATATTTGATTCGGTTTAGTTTTGTCACAAAATGTACCGAAAAACAGCATAATTTGGCCCGATTTGCAAACGCACCCTTAAGCTCCTATTTTACGCTGGTATTCTGTGAGAGCGTGGTCCTTACCCGGTCGAGCCGACCCATTCGTGCTACAACTATGCTATTAATAAAGATGCAGCATGGCTCTACCACGTACATATATTATATGTATAGATAGCGTCAACTTAATCATTTAATTGTATTTCAGGAGGATCTCATGAAGGCGGTGCGCAAAGTTGCAGACAACAAGAAACTCGAGAGCAAGCTGGACTACAAACCGGTTTAAATTGGCATTTATTTATATAATTCAATTAATTCTATTATATTATGTAACTGCTTTTTTAAAATAAAATTAGTATTATTACATCTGTTTTCTTTCAGTTATGTATTCAAAATCCACACAACGATAAAGCATACTTAATCGCAACATTTTTACGTGGTAGAGCCACACTGCAGCTATATTATGGTCGTAGCACGAATGGGTCGATCGAGATACGACCACGCTCTCATAGAATACCAACGTAAAATAGCAGCTTAACACTGCTGTGTTTCGTATGGTGAGTGTAGAGAACCGGAGACCCTTTCTACTGAATACGAGGCATTCCATCTTAGTCCTCACGGGTGACAACGCATCTGCATTTTGATTCGCAAACGAGGATAAATGTAGATGTCTGTGGGCAACAGCAACCACTTACCATCAGGTGGACTGTGTGATTCGCTACACTCACCATAACACAACAGTTTTAAGCTACTATTTTACGCTGGTATTCTGTGAGAGCGTGGTCCTTCCCCGGTGGAGCCGACCCATTTGTGCTATAACTATACTACTAATATAGCTGCAGCATAGCTCTACCACGTATAAGAACTCCTTACCTTCTTAACTCTGCGTAGCTGTGATAGTTTTCTTTTTTACTTCATTATAATATGTACTACTATTCTGTATACTTTTCACATATCCAAAAGCAGTTTTTAAAAGCTTTTAGTAAAAGCTTTAGCAACTAAACATGGTAAAGGGGGGACACATGACTGTAATGAAAAATACCACTTTAAAGCTAAATATTTCGCAAACGGACCCCTGAATCGAAAAGATGTTGTTCCACACCTCCAATTTTTTTGAAAGACCTATCCAACGATACCCCACATGATGGAATAAACGGTTAAAAAAGAATCATCCTCCATTTACTTGTATCGGAAGCACCCGTAATAAAAATGTTTTTTAAAGATTTCATTTCACAGTTTTCTAGGCGTGATTAATATCTATAACTATGTCAAATTACAGATTTGTGCACAGACAGAGAGACGGACATGGTGAAACTATAAGGGTTCTTGGTGTGTAAAAACGGAACCCTAAATATCAGCTGAAGTAGAAAGAAACGTAAAAGTCCTTAAAAATACCCCTAAACATAAATATTAAAAGCCCCTAAAGAATCCCATTCCCATCCCACTTATTTGCCCCCTAATAAATTTAGGCGGTACGCCCTCAAAGCCCCAAACCCCTAAGTTCAGGACCCCCTCGAAGTTTTAGGTTACACAAGATAAAGTTAGACTCCGTTAGAGCCGACAAAAATTCACCGAGAAGGCTTCTCGGTGTGCTGGATGAACGGCAGCGTCGATCTTCGATGAAAATTAATATAAACATATAACTTGTGGTATTTGTGAAGGCGCTCTTATAGCGCGTTCTTAAAAACTAATAGCGACATCTATCAAAAAACTTAAGAACTATTTGCACCATTCGTTTCTTTTATGGGCTAAAGCTGAAGATGATTAGAGAGTAGTATTCCTAGATGTAGTTCTATTTTACTAGGTATAAATATTTAACTAGACTAGACAATTATGATAATAATATGAAAAATAAGTAAGTACCTTTTTAATTCAACTGAGAACTTACCCTAAAGGTTTTCTCTACTAGATTTCTCCTACGCGATCACTAAGATATCGGGGAACTGTTGGTGTCTAGTCGTCATTATGAAGCAATCTAATTTTTCGTCAAAGAGTCGGGACTAAACCACGTCAATTTTCTGTGGGTACGCTTTTGGAAGAGTTCCTCCTTCTTTTTGAAATCATTTCAAGCAAACTGCTATATATCAATCTCTTCAATGTCCTCTATCTCATCAACTGCTCCAATTATTCCTGTATCACAATATGTTCTTCCTTGGCTGTTATTATTTCATTTTGGTATTTATATCCTTATAGGCGAACCAATTACGAATCTTTAGTTGATGTTTTTTTACATAATAGATCTTGTTCGCGCCAAACGCTAATTTCAGGAACTAACGCGAGAGGGCGCGCGGCTCGGTGCCATACCGGTGTCGACGCCCGGGCTGCTGCCGACGGCCAAGGTCTACTAAGGTCAATCACCATCAGTCACACCCAGATACACATCACAGCACCTTATTTCCCTTGCACTACACAACCACATGCGACCTGACCGACTCCGGAGGGACCATTCGCCTTGGATATAGGTAAGTAAGCTCCGTCTAATATTCTCCCTGTTGAAAGGCCGGACCACAGAACGCTCCCCCTTATTGTTTAGTGTAACTATAGATTTTCCACTTTGGGCTTAGGAGGCCCGACCTACGTCTGCTCGTCGAAACTCAGCTGAATGGGCCCCTGAGGATTTGACCTTTATGGGAGCAGCCGTAGGCCGTAACAAACTGGTAGCAGAGCGCGGTTCCGGGTTCGATTCCCCGGTCGATCCCGACCATAGTGTTTGATAAAAATTAAACAATTCTGGTGGCATAGAGCGTTGGTTTGATTGGTTTAATTTGTATCTACAATAACGCCCGTCCGTAATACGTAAAAATATTTTTTTTGTACGTAATAATAAAATTATTTTCCTTTGTTGCTTGCTTATTTGATTAGCGGGTAGATTTGAAAGCCGCGCCCTTTTTGTGCGCAAGCGGGTTTTTTTCTAGAGGTATACGTCATGTAGGTAGATGGATATTATCACGTAATCGATTAATTATCGTTGTCGGATAGTTGTAGTGGATTGCTTATCGAGGGGTCGATTTCCGAGCTAGGCATTTTTTGTTGATCGGCCGTGAGGTGTATCTTCGTTTGTATTGTAATTTGTATTTGAACTAAAGAGTAGTAATTGTATTTGCGCAATTTGAATTTAACTTGATTTGATCGCACTAGTATTTGTTATTTGTTAATTTGATTTGTGTCTTTTCTTTTGTGCTAACTTGTATTTGGTTGATACGTAGTAATTCGTATTTGTGTAATTTCTATTTAACTCGATTTGATAGGAACTGCATTGTTAATTTTTTGTTGTATTTTTTGTTATCTTTGTAATTTATATAACTGTTAATTTTTTGTTATCTTTGTAATTTGTGCTCGAGCCACGTCGTAATTTGTATTTAGTAGTGATGTCATCGCCCAAGCTACTAATCCGTTGCTTGCGGACTGAGTTACGCTGGGCCACAAGCGCCCATGCTTTGATAGGTCGACCGGATAGGGTCCATAACTTGATGAAGCGGTTCGAGCAGGTGGATGCTAGAAGGGCCGCAGTGGAGGAGGCTTACGCTGAGCTCGAGGATTCGGATGTGGAGAAGGGAGTCCTGGACTCCTGCTTCGCGGACTACGTGCAGTTCTTTTCGCTCACGGACGAGTTGATCGAGGCTGAAGGCAGGTATGCCGAGGAGGCGCGTGAAGCTCGGATGAGTGGCCTGCCCGAGTCCTCTCGGAAGCAGCTTCAGCCGGAGCTGTTGGGACGACTCCCAACTCTGGACCTGCCAAGGTTCTCCGGGGTCCTTTCCGAATGGCTGACCTTCGTTGGTCTTTTCGACAGCCTAGTGGACACCCGGAGTGACTTGACCCCAGACTGCTCGGGACCTCGTAGCCAGAAGATACGCCAACGTCCGGCGAATTGCGGATGAACATGTTAAGCAGCTTCTGAGCCTCCCGCTGCTTAGTGACCGGGCCAGACTACGTCCGGACCTGTTTGATCCAGTTCTGGTGGCCTGTAATACGTTGAGGCGGCTGGATTTACCAGTGGGCGAGTGGGCTTTTTTGTTGCTCCGCATCGTGCTGTCCCGTCTACCTCTCGACCTTCGAATACATTTTGAGGAGAGGTACGGCGGGGACGAGGCCTCCTATATTCCGCCCTTCTATGACCTGCTGCGGTGTTTGGAGGAGCAGTGCCGGCAGATCGAGAACGCGGCGGGCACCGTTGACGACTTACGAGCCGTGCCCAGTGAGAGGCTGAATCCGCCAGGCAAGTCGTCGTCCCCCCCCCCCCCCCCTGCTCCTATTGTCGAGCATCTGATCACCGGGTGACGTCGTGCCCGAAATTATTAGGTAAGCCGGTTCCGGCGAGGCGAACTATCGCCAAGGAGCGCCGCTGGTGCTGCCCATGTTTGGAAGGGCAACTCCAGCGAGACTTTCCGCATCGGCAGCCCTGTCTGCATTGCCAGGGCCATCACCATGCAGTTTTGTGCCTGGGTGCGAACGGCGTCTCCTCTCGGGGCTCTGTCAGGCCCTCGACCCCCACGGGCGGAGGCGCTCAGCCACGACCTCTGACGGGCGACTCTCGGCGCCCGCCGGCCAACCACCAGGACCCTAGGTTTGAAAGGGGTCCCTCCCCCGACCAGTTGGGGGGTAATTCCCCCAGGGGCGGGGGTGTCATCACCCCCCTCAGCGTGTGGACAGGAACTTCACGGCCACTCATCAGTTCGCTAGACCCTTTTCACTCCCGTTAGCTGAGTGGCCGCGACTGGTGTACCATTCCCCATTTGATGGAGGCGGCCCTAGCTAGCTGCCGCCTTAGGTCCCACCACGGTCGCCTCCACTGAGCCTTAAGCCATCAACAGTCCACTTGTCAAAATGTTCTGTTGCCGACGGCCTCAGTGAAGGCGTACAACCCAAGTGGCGACTGTTAGCGGTTTGCGCTCTATTGGTCTCGGGTTCACGCCGTGTGGCCTCCACTTGGTGGTGGGAAGATTAGGGCCCCTCTGGAGCGTTGAATCACGCTGTCAAGGGGTATTAGATTTGGTTTGGTCGAGCACTTAGTTAAAAATTCTTTAGATTAAAATAAAAAAATGCTTTGGGTTTTCCGCGAAATTTTCATATTTGTAGCGGTTGTGATTAAAAGAATTGAATTTAATCTACTCCTTTAAATGCTGCTGCATATGTTTTGTAAATATATTTTATCACTGTGTTTGTTGTTGCACGGAAAATTGAAATTGAATGTCGCGCTATTTGGAAAATTATGTATATGTTTTGTGATAGTGTTTAATCATTTTGCTTTGTGAAAAGGAAGGCTGAAATTAGATAACCCTATTTGTGCCGAAGGGAATAAAAGTCAATTCTCCTTTGGTTTACATTTTGTTGGCACTGTCTAAGTTATTTAAATGAGAAATAGG